CCGTTTATGCAAGAAACCCACCGGATAAGTTTCAGATGTAACATTAAAGAATATTTTGTAAATAATGCTAGGTCAAGATATAATAACTCTGCTTATATACTACATACAATTTTTAACACGCTTATATTAGCTTGACCTGTTTGTATGTAACTCAATCTTTGAGCATAATTCCCACCAATTTCCAGACGTTTGATTAATATGAAACTTCGCACACGTATCAAGAACCGATGACAATGCAATAATTTGATAAGTTTTCCATTCTCCTTGGATTGATAAATTCTTTTATACAGGGTGACTTCGAAGTTGAGTCATTTATTTTAACAGTGAGTAGATCTGATCAAAAGGAATGTTTTTTTCCTTTAACATTTTTGTGGTAAAATTAAAGTAACAAAGTTATAGCCCTTTAGCAGTTTGAGTACCGCCCTGTCTCAATAATAATATTATGTGCTCGTGTTTGGCAACAACGGATATAATCCGCCTTATCGGTTCATCGCATCGGAAACAAAAAAGCGAAAGAATTTGAAACGCTGATCACGATGTTTTTATTCAGTCAATGTGTCAGTCGGTAACGCGTGAGTGAATAGTGGTGTTTGCTGCGTGGCTCAAACGAAATAAAAAATGGCACATGTTTATGCGGATCGGTTTCCCAATCGAGTGCGACCAACCCCTCGTGCCTTTGTTAATGTAGTACAACGGGCTCGTGAATCAGGTGACTTAAGACCTCACAGGGGAGGGCATGCCGGTGCTCCAAGACCTCACGATCAAATACAGGTCCGCACTGAAATACTTGTCGGGAGGATACTTTATAAAACAAGGTAATTTTTTTTTTATTTTTTTTTTTATTTTTACACACATATTTTGGTTTATCTTCCTTCTACAATCATTATCTGAAAATTAATGAGTCAACTTCAAAGTCACCCTGTAGATCCTCTGCAGGGGAGTAAGAGAGATAGAGCTAGCGCGCGATCTGCTCATGCGTGCAGTTTCGGGCTTACTCTTTGTTGGTTCTGGCATTCGGCACAGCACAACGAAGGCCGATACTTTTTCAAGGTAGTGCATTCTCACCCTGTTCATTGCGATTGTTGTCATTAATCCTGAGTTGGGCTTCGACCGTCCACAAGATGCAAGATTGTCGATCATGCAGTCACTTATCTAGGCTCGCGACTGTTTGCTGCTAGACAAGCTTATGTAGCACTTAGTCGAGTGAGATCTTTAGACGGTATTCGGATTGAAGAACTTGATTGCTCTAAGTTAACAGGAAAAACTCCATGCAACAGTGAAGCTTTACATGAAATGATGAGATTACGAACTAGGACTATAGCAACTAGATTAGGGGGTATTCATTCCAACAGCACTGTGTGGCAGGTTCTTTCCGAGCAACTTTTGTATGCCTATCATCCAACGTGTGCAAACATTATTACGAAGAGATTTTCTACATCGTTTACAGTTTTGTCAAGATTATTTCCAAAAGGTTAATAACAATACGAATTTTAATGAAACCATACTTTTTACAGCTGAATCATGATTGTTGATTACCATAACGGTCATGTATGGAGTGACGAAAATACTCATGCTTACGTACAATGTCGCCACCAGGAGCAATTTTCTTTAAATGTGTGGTTGGGTGTTTTTGGTGACAATTTAATTCGTCCTATCTTTTTACCCTTAATATTAACCGGCGAATCTTACTTCGGTGAACTAGAATTGCCCGTACTGCAAGAAGAAGTTTCTCTAAATATACGTAACGAATCAACTTTTATGCGCGATGAAGCTCCTCCTCATTTTAGTGTACCTATCAGAACTCATCTGAATGACACCTTTGGTGAAAATTGGGTTGGAAGCAGTGGACCACTAAACTGGCCACCTCCAGTGGCGGATTTAAAGGGAGGCGCGTGGGGGCACTTGCTTTTGTAATCTAACACCATTGTGACAGAGGCATACTAACTATAAGTTATAGCTATCGGAACTGAGCATTGCGATTTTTGGTATCCTTTGGTATTCCAAACGCTCTTCGACATCACGTACGTTTACAGGACAATTCTTACGATTTATACGTATATACCAGTATGGTGACTTGTGACAAATCTAAGTCTAAGCAATATATTAGGTATACAGATTGTACTTAAAAAGTGATTTATGTTCTGTTTTTGCTCAATAGTAATTTGAAAAGTGTGTAAAGTTTGGCTTATTTTGTTCGAGGTTGGTGTTGCAGAGAAGCACTATTAGTCTAAACATATTAGACGAAGATACCCCTTGCTTGCGAAATAATTCTTAAGTCTATTGGTGCAAGTTGCAAAAGGGAGTATTCAAAACATGGATGCATAAAATGGGTACACCAATTTTTGTGGGAAAACTTTTTATGCGACAACAAAGATTAAGAAAACGTGTTTTTTGAGATTCAATCTAAATAATTGGTAGGGACGAAAAAACTCTACTTATTAGATTTTTAAGTATTTATGAGACCTACAAAATGAGACCACACGTAAAAAGATCCGACTAATAGCAAAAAAGTTATCGCTGAAAACCGAGGCAGACTGCAGGTCTTGGCACGTGTTGGTAATGCGACGACGGTTTCTCGCGCAGATATTTGAAATTCTTCAAAATCGTAGGATTGGTAATTCTAAATAACCACAACGAAATTGGAGTAGATTGGTCAAGTAGTTTGTGAGAATTTCTAATTGTTTATCCCAAGACATCCGTTTTCCGGCCATCTAGTTTTTTTGAGCAATATACATGGGGTAGTTCAAAGGGCATTTTATAGCAAAATACACTAGTTTACCTTGCCGATATGAATCGAAAACTATTCCGGAAGATACATGTTATTTTTATGCACGTTTTTCTTCAAACATTCATTCAAACATTTCGTATTTGTGAGTAACTCGCAACAAAAGATGACAGACACATCCACTTTGTTTTAAAATGTGTATAGCAACGTATGTATTTCGAATATCGTAGCGCATTTGCTCAATTAGTCACAAATACAAAATGTTTGAATTTGCTTTTAAAAAAAAAACGTAACCTTTGTTTTTCGCATAAAAATAACATTTATCTTTCGGAATGGTTTGTAATTCATATCGGCAAGGTAAATTAGTATATTTTGCTGTAAAATGCTCTTTAAACTAATCCTGTATATAGCTCAGTAAACTAGTAATGATGTCCGGAAGACAGGTGTGTTTTGGGATAAACAGAAATTCTCAAAAAACTTCTTGACCAGTATACTCCAATTTTGCTGTTGTTATTCAGAAGTATCAATCCTGCGGACTTGAAGAATTTCAAATAGTTGCGTAAAATTATCGTCGCATTACCAACAAGTGCCAAAACCTGCATTGTGCCTGGTTTTTCGGCCATAACATTCTTGCTATTAGTCAGATCTTTTCACGTGTGATCTCATTCTGTAGGTCTCGTAAATACCTAAAAATCTTGCATCAAAAGTTTTTTCGTTCCTGACAACACTTCCGACTGAATCCAAAAAAACACGTTTTCTCATTATTTGTTGTCAAATAAAAAGTTTTCCCACAAAAATTGGTGTAACCATTTTATGTTTAAAATGCGCCCTTGAACAACTTGCTCCAATAAAACCGGACTTTGCAATTATTTCGGGGAAATTTGCTAATATGATTGACTATATGTTGAATGAACTCCAAGTCAATACCACACGTCCAGCATTTCTTCCCGCCTATGTTTCTATTTATGTTGCTATATTGGAATTCGTTTAAGTCACAGAGCTTCTGCATTACACGTGAATATGTACAGCTCTGTATTCCTGTTCTGGTTTCGTACAAAAATACATTATCAAAATAATTACGATCTAACATATATAGTTTTTTCCAAAGATTTAAAACATTTTTACATGCGATCAACATCGATTCGAAAACTGAGAAGGCAACAACTATGCCGTAAATCTAAATTCGACAACGAAAGTCTGAAGAATGACTGTAACATCTATAATGAATTTCAAAAAATAGTTGACTATACCTGTTGATATAATAGAAGTGCTTGATTGTGGCAGTGTTTAATACCAATTACTTGATTTGTTTAACGGGTAGTTCAGAGTATCAATCATTAAGCTTAGTACACACTAGTAGACCCCGTTGCACAATTTGTCTATAGGCAGTCTGGAGACGGTCTCAATACACGATCTATAGATGGTCTATAGACATCCTTCTTTGTCTCGTCTAGCGTCCATACGATAATGTGAATTTTTCGGTCTCACGTTCGTTTTCGCCATCAAAGACATTGTTTTGTGTGGACTGGCTGGGATATGTCTCGGGGTCCCTCAAAATGGCTTTTTTTGTTAACAGTGCAATGAAGTTTTTTTATGTTTAGTCTTTAATATTATTACACTAGTTAATTATAAATGCCACGTAATTCTTTTGTTCTCATATAATAAAATATTGCCTTTCTGAGGATTTCTGAACACTTTCCATATTTTTTTTTCAAGTTGGCATTGCACAGATGGAACACAATGGATTTAAGGAGCAATAATAGGTTAAATTCTAGAACTTCCATTGAGGTAGAAATATTACCATCCCCAAAGATCGTTTGCGCCCCCCCCCCTAGAAGAAATCCTGAATCCGCCCTTGGCCACCTCCCTCCCATTGCTTAAATCCAGACTTTAATTATGGGGATACTTTGAGACGATGTTTTACGCAACTCCCATAGAAACAATGGCAGAATTATGAAATAATATCGTAAACGCATGCGAAAAAATAAACCTCGTATTTTAGCTGAGTTCGTCGTTCAATGATTCGTCGAGTGATACACTCCCACACTACTGTCGGCTGCGTAAACTGTGCATGGTGAAAGCCAACATAGTCGTTCACGCGGGATTGGTCATCGCAACGATCATGTGCACCTGAAGTAGTTCCTCCGAGGTCCAGCGCCCACATAAGTGGTAGTGGCTTATGGCGTGGCAGTGGTGTGGCAGAGGCCTGGTGTTTTAACCCCTACTAAAGTGGCACAGAAGCAGCACACAAAATGCAAGTTTAGTCATTAGTACAATGTCGTCTTCAGAGGACGAAGATGTTCTTGCCTTAGTGCATTTAAATAATATTCAAAGAAGACGGTATTGGGTACATCCCTTATGGAAAAATAAAAACAAAAAATATGGCAGCTTTAATGTAGTCAAAGAGCTAAATCAGTATCCAGAACGGTTTCAGTCTTTTTATCGAATTTCTAAAGACTGTTTTACTAGGCTACTGAACATAATAAAACCAAAAATAACTAAAAAGAATACAAACTGGAGAAATTGTGTTCGCGATTATTAATATCTCTTAGGTAAGTAATTAAATAATAGCTGTAGAATACACTAAAAAATGGTTTTCAAAAACATTATGAAATTTATGGAACTTTAATATTAACACATAAAGACAAACACAAAAACTAGTTATATGAATACCCTTGAGGCTGCTGATTCGATAAACTAGTAGCATAATCAAAATCAGTTCCATGTGATATTTGTAGTGTAATGTATGATCGAATTCTATTTTCGTTTGCTGGTTGATTTGAGGTTACGATGCTAATCGGAGAATAAGCTTGTATATTGGAAGGGTTTGAGGAAGATTCGCTAAGCGGTGAAATCACTTAAATTTGTTGTCCGATTTTCTCCTAAAATTTCTCCAGCTAAATTCAAAATGCCAATTTTAAATTTTCTTTTTTGAAATTCAGAAATTTTTTTAATGTCCGGTAGCATACTTATCAGAAAAGCCTTATCCGGATCCTTAGTTTTTTCACGACATTCTTGTAATTCAGTTCGTTTCTTTTAAAAATATTCAAAAGCACTTGAATTCACTTCTCGCAAAGAAGTGTATTTTTTTGTTTCTTTCTTTTTTTTTGTACGTTTTGAAATACGTTTTTCCTCATTTTCATTGGTGTCACTCAAAGGCGCCTCTAATTCACTGTCAGACTTGCCCGAATCAATTTCATTTGCGATACTTTCTTCTTGAATCTTTTTACTATTCCCCAATGATTTTCTTGATTTTGTGAATGGTTGTAAAAAATGTAAATTTTCAGCTAGATAGCAGGGTTTGATTGGTTTTGCTGAGGCTCCCGACCGAACTTTATTTAAATATTTTGTAAAACTTCCCCGAATATTTTTCCTTGCAATCATTTACTGAAACAAACAAAAAATGTTTTATGTTGCTTGTTTATGCGAAAAAAAAATTAAAACCTTGATACATAAATAGCTATAACAGTTTTTCTTTTGTGTCGTTTCAGATATTTTGCCACGGGCTCATCTTTTCAGTCGTTACAATTTTATTTTTTAAGAAGGCATACAAAACTACGAAAAATTGTTTATCACGCAGCCAAGATGTTATGGAAAACTCTACAGCCAGAGTTTTTACCAAAACCGACTAGGGAATGGGGAGAATGGTTGGATATCGCTGAACGCTTTTATAGTCTATGGAATTTACCTGATTGTATTGGGAGCATTGATAAAGGTTTTTGTTTCTATAGTGCGGTTAGCTGTTGTCTACGCAGATGGCTTAATTATTTCTGTAGATGTGGGTGAATATGGCCGCAATAGCGATGGGCGTGCGTTAAAGGAAAGTAAATTTGGAAGGTGTCTGAATCGAGGAGAACTTAATATACCAGATCCAACTCCTCTACCTGGTGAAGATGTAAATATTGGTTTTCCCTACTACTTTGTAGGTGACGAAGCATTTCCGCTCAGGAACGTTATGAAACCGTTTGCCCGAAATCAACTTACCAATGAAAGAAGAATGTATAATTACAGAATTTCTAGGGGACGCAAATCAGTGGAATGCTGCTTTGGTATGTTAAATACTAAATTTGGGATATTACAAACGAAAAGGATTGATATAATAATCCCAGCAATATGTGCTTTACATAATTTTATTCATGTTCATGGAATTTTTCCCACACCTAAACAACCAAACATTATTCAGCACATACCTGTTCAGGATTTACAAATACAGAGAAACACTCCACAAAATTTAAGACATCGGCTTTATAACTAGTTTTGTAATATTTCTCCCATTCCAAACTAAGGATATTACAATTTTTAATATCTTTTTTTTAATAGGTATTACAATACCATGTTACCTCTACTACATTTTCCGAGTTGTAACTATAGCCTTACTTATTACTAATAAATAATTATTTTATTAAAAATTACCTGTTTCCTTAATTTTTTTCGAGATTTCATTTCAGACAGCATTTTGTGCAGTTCTGTTGCAATAATCAGGTCGATTATAATCATATAAACATGGTTTTGATTCAACTAATTCGACAAAGCGAAAATTAAATTCCAAATAATCCCGCATTTTACTGCCAAAACTATGAAAACATTCAAAACAATGAGCGAGATCGGATTGGCAGGCCGCTTTCAATGCATCACTAGTGGTTACAATATGGCGTGCCACATCTAAACCGCTACCACGCCATCTCAGTGTGCGTTGCTTGATTCATTTACATTATCTTTCTATTGCCACTCGCCAGAACCACGCCGCTGCCAGACTTCCGCCATTTCTGTGGGCGCTGGGCCTTAGGCAAGGCGCGCACTGAGATGGTGAGCAAGTGACGTGGTAGTGGCGCGGTGATCAAGTGGCAAGTGGAATCGCTAAAGCCTATATAAACAAATGAAGACGGGCGTATCAAAATGGAGTAGCGGTGGCGTGGCATTTTGTAGGTGGCGTGATGTCAGTCTGGTGCCACTAATCTCGAGCAAGTTTAATTTTCGACTGGCAAGCGGTTGGTGACGACGACGCGATGTGGGTTTTTGTTTACTTTTTCCTGGAGTGAATCATGCGAGACGACCACGAATTGAACATTAATTTTGTAGCCCTTGTAGAGGCATATCTCTGTCTGTATGACAATACACGGGAGGATTATCATATGATCCATGTGCAAGAACGGGCTTTTTTTGCCACAGCGGATGAACCCAATGCCGTTTTTTCTTCGTCTCCTGACTTATAGCATTTAGATTAACAAGTTGCATAAATAAAAGGGCATCTTCATCTTCTGAGGACGACATGGTAAACCGGTGACGTCAGCTGACTTTGCCACTTCAGTGCGCTTTATATCACTTTCATACCACTTCGCCGCTATTCCGATCGCCACGCCAAATTTTACCATCCCTATGCCTCTCACCACTCCAATACCTCACCACTACCACACTACCTCAGTGCGCGCCTTGCCTTAGGGGGAGGTGGACGTGGGAAGTACAGAATCAACTTACTTTTTTTCTCTCTGACTCAGGTGAGATGCCAGTGCTATAGTCAGAGCCTCTAAAATTTGGTATGTAATGCTACGCGTACAAGATTTTAGTGCAATACTATAATTCAGGTCCGTGTGCCTCGATAATACAGCATTTTAGGACCCACATCTAAAAGGTGATTCAAATTGAGTTTCCACATAAAAAGTATTTAAAAAAAAGAAGATAGAAGAATTATAAAAAAATATGTATTTGGCCTTTCAGGGTAGTTAGTTCATTACAATTATGCATGAAAGATGATATCAAGTAAATGACCGCCGGCTCATGTGGCATGCCGTAATTCGTTTCGAGAAATTTTCGACTACTCTTTGGCACAAATCAGGTCTTATGTTGGTAATTTCGCGTCTGATATCCTGTTTCAGCTCCGCAATTGTGTTCGGGTTATTCTTGTAGACATTGCTTTTGAGATAGCCCCAAAGAAAATAATCTAAGGGAGTTAAATCACACGATCGCGGCGGCCAATTGATATCGCCGTTACGTGAAATAACGCGACCTGGAAACTTGCAGCGCAGTAATTGTATCGTTGCTCCTGATATGTGACAGGTAGTGCCGTCCTGTTGAAATCAGAGATCTTCGATGTCCATATCTTCCAGCTGCGCCCAGAAAAGCTCTGTTATCATGTTCCGATAGCGAACGCCATTAACCGTAACATGGTTCTTCGCATGATCCTCGAAAAAAATGGACCATTTACGCCTCCGGACTAAAATGCACACCGAACATTCACAGTTTGAGGATGCATTGTCACTTCAACAGTCTGTCTTGGATTTGCCAATCCCCAAATACGGCAATTGTGAATGTTTACGAAACCCCCAATGTGAAAATTTTGATTTTTTGATCATTCTGAACAGCCAACATAAAATAGCCAACCTCTTCAGGATCCAGAAGGATAAGTCATTTTCCTGGAGGTACAATGCTCGACTCATCCACCAACAAGGTTACCTCATAGAAAAAGAACTATAGAATGGTAAATTCTTAAAACATTTCATTTTAACACAAAGCATCCTTGAGTTGTAAGCTCGTACTAAATATGTCGGATAAGTTGCGACGCGGTGGCATAGGAATATGCAAATTTTGTGACTGTTACACCAAAATACTGGAAAGGTCAAGGCTCTCTTCGAAACTTCACCGGAAACTTACATAGCTTTAAGCGGTGGAAGGCCAAGATTTATTATGGTAGGTAGCTACGGTAACCTGAAAGAATGTTTTTTCTTAGCGCGGCCTAAGGTAAACAGATTTCAGAAATATTTCAAGGATAAACAGCCGTCAGGGGCGTAGCCATATACAGTGTGGGGAGAGTTGCAGCCACCAATTTATTTTGCATTGGCCATCTATTGGTCCCTCTTGCGCCTCCACCAACGACTTTTTTATCTGGGACTTGTATAGAGTGAGTAGGTCATGCGGAGAAAAGTACTTCTTGGCCCTAAACAAATAGCCTAGCTTTTTCTCAGTAGCTGCCGCTATTGACGAGATGTGTTAGTGCCAGATCAAGCACTCGGTGATCTGGATACCGACCGAAATAAACGGCTCTTTGGCAGAACTCTGCCATCCATCGAAACCGGATGAGCGCTACGAGGGATGTCTTTTAAGTTTTGCATATAGAAACATAGTAGGCCGCGCGGATCGGACGTCAGTACTGAATCTTATCCTCACTCTTCAGTAAACTTAAATTCAAAGTTTCACAACAATACGTGCAGTGTTCTCACTACAGTGAATTTTTAAGTGTCACCAAGTCATTAGAAAAATGGAACTCAACCGAGAACATTTTCTCGCCATAATTTATTACTTTCAGAGACAATTATCGCAACAAGAATGCCTTGCTGAGTTACTGTCTGTTTTCGGCAACGAAGCGCCACATCAGTCGACAATTTGCCGTTGGTATGGAGAATTCAAACGTGGACCGGTGAGTCTTAGCGACGATCTCAGGGTGGGTGCACCAAAAACGGCAGTCACCCAGGAAAACGTCGATGCTGTGCGCAAACTCATCATTGAAGATAGACATGTGACATATCGCGAGATTGAGGCGTCCTTGAAGATCTCAAAGACCTCAATTCAAAAAATTTTACATGAAGAATTAGGAGTAAGAAAATCAGTTAGTTTCTCGTTGGATACCCTACCTGTTGACTGAAGAGCAGAAAGCAGCCAGGGCTAATTGGTGTCCAAAAAACGCTTGACCGTTTCAACTCCGGAAACTCAAAAAATGTGTACAGCATTGTTAGTGGTAATGAATCGTGGATTTACTGTTATGAACCAGAAAATAAACGACAGTCGGCTGTTTGGGTGTTCCAAGGTAAAGAAAAGCCAACAAAAGTCATCCGTTCTCGAAGTGATTCGAAAAAGATGGTCGCGACATTTGTGTCAAAAGCGGGTCATATTGCAACAATTCCTCTTAATGAGCAACGAACTGTTACTGCGGATTGGTATACCACCATTTGTTTGCCAAAAGTCATCACCGAGCTTCGAAAAATCAACCCCGAAAGAAGAAATCATCCTCCATTAAGACAATACAAGCTCGCACACAGCCCAAAAAACAAAGCAGTATTTAACGGAAGGAAACGTCGAATTATTGGACCATCCTCCATATAGTCCCGATCTAAGTAGTAACGATTTCTTTACTTTCCCGAAAATTAAAAACAGACTGCGTGGTCAAAGGTTCCAGTCACCAGAAGAAGCAGTTGACGCATTCAAAAATGCCGTTTAGGATCTGCCAGCAAACGAGTGGAATTAGTGCTTCGAAAATTGGTTCGAGCGCATGCAGATGTGTATTAATCTTCGTGGAGAATACTTCGAAAAACAATAAAGTCATTTTAAACTACCTACCGTGTTGTTTTATTTCCATATGCAAAACTTAAAAGAAAGATATCCCTCGTAGGTCGCTTTTTGTTCGTCAAGGTACAGTACTGTGCTTTGGAAGGGTTAAATTGTACAAGATTGTTGCGTCCCCAAGCAGTAATAATCTCCAGGTCTCTCGTCAGAGAGGAAGTCTTCCTTTTTGCAGCTCAGGGGCAGAGATCGGCTTGTCACTCTGTGAATTCCTGCATGTAGAGTGCTGTCATCAGCGAACCTGTGGATTGGGTTGATCGTGCAGGAAAGGAGGTCGTTGATATGTAAGAGGAACTGTGTCGGAGCCAAGATCGATCCCTGGGGAACACCCGCGTTAACTTTGTGGGATGAAGAGGAGAACCCGTCAATTACGGCGGATATCTTGCTGCCAGAGAGATAGTCAGCCACTCATCTGCAAAGCTTTTCTGGGAGACCATGGTTAGAATATTTCTCACTCCACATGTGTTTAGGGGAGTCACTGAGCCCAACGCCGCTAGTCTTTTTTCCGGCTGGTCACTCACTCTGAATTCCTGCATGTAGAGTGCTGTCATCAGCAAAGCTGTGGATTGGGTCGTGTTAATCTGTCGTGTTCCGTGCATATCAACATCACATTATTACACTTTAGCACAGTTTTGTTAAATGAACAAACTCGGGCGAGTCGCCCCCCTCAAAAGAAAGGAAAATACGCGGAAAATCTTTGTCACAAGGGCATTCGCTCTCAGAAGTAGTAATGAAGTCGCCGCCTCCACCCCTCTTCTTCTATGTTCATTCGACGATACCCCCCCTCCCTCCTCGCTGTTTAGATATCACAAAGGCATTCTCTCAAGTCCCCCCAAAATGTCCGTATAGATCCAGCTTTATTTCGCTCCATTCACACATCTCTACCCCCCTGCCCCTCTCTTCAATTAATTGTCTGTTCTTGGAGTATGATTAAATTATT